GTTTCTAAGTCACCAATTTAGTGCTACTTGGTCCCAATGGAATTTCCCATTCCCGCCCCCAGAAGTGAAGAGGATGTGGAAAGAATTCAATCCATCAAACTCAATCTGAAAAAACAGACATTTGAAGAAACAAACTGAAAATATGAAAAAAAAAAAGTAAATAAGAAGTTTAAAATATTGTCTAAAAAGTATTGGAAAAAAAAACAGTAAAGTTGCTCTCTAAACCAGAGGTCACAGATTAGCGGACCCGACCTGATTTAAAAATGAATAAATTACCGCATGTTGTACGACTGGGCCACTATAAATGTGTTTCCAGGTGCACGTGGTGAAGGACGCCACCCGTGGCGCCACCTTGGAAGTGGTGGTGAGCAGAATGAAGGCGGTGAATTCCTACAGAGCATCTCAGAGCCCAGAGGGAGGCTTCACCATGAGGTTTGTGGCCGTGTCGGCCACGGTCCCCAACGTATCAGACGTAGGTGTCTGCAACAGATTCCCTTTGCTGTGAGATCAGACATAAAATGGCGACTGATTCCAGAACCTCTCTGCTTCCATCAGATAGCAGACTGGCTGTCCAATGGGAGCGAGCCTGCTACGTTTCTGAGCATGGACGAGAGCCACCGTCCTGTAAAGCTGAGAAAGGTGGTCCTGGGATTCCCCTGCAGCGCAACACAAACAGAGTTCAAGTTCGACTTGTCACTCAACTACAAGATGGCTAACATCATACAGACTTACTCTGACCAGAAGCCCACGCTGGTGGTGAGTAGACCAGTTAAAAGGATTAAATAAATGTATAACACAGATTACATAGAGTCAGGAGGGACGGACATGCAGATACCGACACACAGAGGTGTCAACAGGAATCATTTTATAGAAGATAAGTATCAACTTTAGCCTTTTACTCCAGTAAAAGTGTAAAAGTACAATTTTTAAAACTACTTAAAGTATAAAAGTAAAAGTAATGCAGGAAAAATGTTAAGGACAGAAGCTTTACTACTATAAAATCTTTTTTTTTGAGAATAAAGTCGTAACATTATGAGAGTAAAGTCATATTACGAGTATAAAGTCATCATTCCAAAAGCAATTAAAGACAATTACAGGCTCGGCTTTCTATCCCCTGAAGAACA